GAGAGAGAGATGACCCAATTCCCATGGTATATCCACTGGTATATACAGGGTGTAGATGCTGTATTAGTCTGTAGATACAGACTCCACTGTAGATACAGACTCAATTTTTACACGAAACACAATTTATTAAAAAGTCTTGACTCTTGAGCCCAGCCTATAAACTCTTTTACCACTCTCTGGCTGTGTCAGAAGCAGCTACAGCACAGAGCCTATGGTGTGCAGTAGACCATGCAGTCTGCATAGTCTTGCACTTCAGACTTTAGACACAATGCTCAGCACTACAACTAACAAAGGTCTTTGCATGCAGACTAATGTTGTACTGTTGTGAGATGATAATGGGCTGTGGATGAGTGATGGTTTTATGGAACTCCAAACATTGGTGATGACACTGTTGTGAAGGCTTACAACAAACTGAAGAAAGCAATATGAAAACTAATATTGTTGTCATGGAAACAGGGGATTTCATTAGGCCAACCCTTATTTGTAGGCCTGCATCTTGAAATCATGAATCAGTGGTAAATTTGCCCTGCATGTAAATTGAGCCTTTTAGAGCTGCTACATGTATTAAAGTAGAATCTTTTTATGGGAAACAGAAAACTTTGAAGAACCTGTGTCTTACAATCCATATTAATGATTTGAATCTCTCTTTTTGTGGCCAATTTAAAGGTTTTAAAGCTTATTTCCTACCAACAATTCCTAACATCCAACACAATATAGTCAAGAAACAAAAATGGATGCGGCGGGTGCATACATTGTTGCCCTCTATGCTTTCTTGTGCTCTGAATCACAAGTTATTGATCATCCAAGCCATAAAGCGTGGAATGATTGTCACAAAAGGGTTTAAATAGTATAATTATGGCAATTCCAGGAATCTTAAACAAGGAGCTTTGTTCCATTGGGCGATCACATCAGGAGAATGCAGTGTTTTACGCTGTGAAAAAAAGGGGTGGGGGGGTCAATGATGGTCAATATGGTACATGTTCATGTACGGGTGTACATGAACTACATGTACATCCTCTTCTTAATCTTACCATCCTCTTTTCTTTGCTTTCTTTACTACACCACCTTCACCACCATCATGTTCTTCTTCACTTCTCTTTATCTCCTTTATATATAAAATGAGTTAGGGAGATAAAATAATAAGAAATAAGCTTTTAAAGTTATTTTATTTTTTTTAACAATCTACTCATTCAAGTTTAGTTCATTAATTTGAGGTTATGTGATATGAATGTTTTTATATACTGTATTTTACATTTGGAAAACATTGCCCAATTCGGCCATGTAGGCTGTTCTTTTATTCTCAATAAAACAATTATCTATCTATCTATCTATCTACCCGTACTTAAGTTTTGTATGGCTTTCGTTTTGGTTTGCTTTAATTTTCCGTATTAAAATTAAAAAACATACAAGGATACAATTTACAAATACAATACAAATCAAGAATTAAAAGCAGCTGTAATGCTCTATTCAGAGCCATTAGTAAAATGGCCGGTGAAAAAAACACACAGGGGCTCGGGGTGAAGTAGCCCCCAAAATGCCAAAAAGAGCCCCCGAAAGTCATAGAGTCATAGAGTTCAATGCAAAACAAATTAATGAGTGTTATTTTCATGCAAGCAAGCTTGAAAAGTAGCCCCCCAAATTTTTAAAGTATTTTCTTCCCTGAAAATGGCTATGTTCTTCCTCGAGGTCCAGCATCAACTTAAAATAAATAAATAAATAAATTGTAACCTCAAATTATTGCCTGAAATTTTATCAGTTGTATTGATGAATAACATGGGGCACATGAAGGCATACATTTTTACGTGTACAATACATGCAGTATTATAATGGTATGAAGTATGGGGCATAGACTAGATGAGGCTGGTGTAAATATGACATGCTGGAAGTCAATTTGAGATCACACAGTGCTATGATTGTATTGTGAATTGAGTTTCAAAGGTTGCCTGCCTCCTACGAGTCTGAGCATCCCAGCTCTGCTCTGTGAATGCATGCACTCCCACTGAACAGCCTATCGGTAGGCGCGTCTTCATCATCTCGAGATTGCCAAATAGCCCGCTGTTTGGGAAATAATCCCGAAGTAACAAATCGCGTCTGCACTATCTCGAGATTCGACCTCAAAACTTGAAACTCGACCTTGAGAAATTAGCTCGAGATATTTTGCTCAGCGTTAGCGTGTATTGCGAATCTTCGGTCTAGTGAAGACGCACAGGACAAATAGCTGGATATTTTGAATACTTGGGATATTTTGCAAACTATCCCAAGATATCTTGGGATGACAATCCTGACCAAATATCCTTCTACATGTAATTGCTACTTCGGTCTGAAATAAGCTGGATAGTTTGCGATCGGGATAGTTCAAATAGCTGGATATTTGGCAATCTCGAGATAATGAAGGCAGGCCTTCTGTGAATGTACTCCCACTGAAAAGCCTATCTGTCTGTCCATAGACCAGTCTGCTGTCCAATAGTCTTATGTGTATTGACAGCTCAATGTAGACCTGTACTGCTGTAGACATTAAATATGTCAACTGTATACTGGTAGTCCCATGGTATCATTCGCTACATTGTAAATTTAGATGTACATTGTATGTAGTCTGTAGATACTGCCCACTATCTAGTAAAAGTAGAAAGACTGTGCATATACTGTACATGTAAAGCGTGTAATGAGGAACTCGTAAAATGCACAGGCTTACAGTACCCAGGGGGATACATACAAAATTGACCATTAATATTTAAGAGAATTATGATTGTTTGAAATACATGTATGAGATCACCTACAATGTTTGTTTGTTGTTTGTTTGATTGATTTTATTTTTGCGTTAAATAACAAATACAAAGTTATACATTTTTACATACTGTAAGTATTACATGTACATGGCAAATTATGTCTAATAAAATTATACAATAACCATATTACAAAGCAATCAAATGTAGTCTACAGTATTGTGAATCTCATATTGGTACTATGGTAGTTTGTAACATGCATGTACAGTGTATTAATTCTGCAATATTCACAGATAATTCTGCCAGTTTGTCATGAATGTGCAAAATGTCATTAATATAGATGTTTCTCCTAGTCCTAAGTGCCTTCTTCCTTGGGGCACTACTCTAAATATATTAATGGATATTATTCTAGGTAAGAGTAAGAGAACAGACTTTCCTAGCTGACTCATGAATTTCTGACAAATTAATTTTAGTCATTTTCTGTCACTACATCACAGAGACATCACTGATTCAGCCAATTTGAAGAGCCCATACAGTACCTGTAGTGATTACAACTTTTAAAAATTCACAATTTTTTTTGGTCTGATTTCATTCAAATTTTGACTAGTATGCTTCTCTGATTCTACTTCTTCATTCGAGAGTAGTTTGCTCGAGGTTGGATTCCACTTTAAGTGGTGACATGTAGGATATATTATACTATACTAGGCCGAGTTTTATCCATCCATGAGGAATACATACATGTAGTTTAGTTAGCCCTCCCAAAAAGCAAATAAAAAAGGAGTTTCTGTCCTAAATATTTCTTGCATGACTCAAAGACCAACCCCTGTGCCTGGCCCTGATGATATTCATTGACCTTTGACATTTAGCTGGCCATTAGAGCCTTGTCTCAAACCACACTGTTTTATGCGAGCTACAATATTTCCTTCCAAATGCCATTATACAGGTTATACATGTTCTTGTAAGTGCTCAATTACCAATAAACCTATATTTAAAGAGGAAAGGAAATTATGCATTTAAGTTCCCAAATCTAAAGATTTACCAAAAGACAGCCTATTTTTATGACAATTGCATCAATAATACTTCTATAAATAGTTTTGAAGGAAATATTATTGTCCTTTATGATTTGCTGATAAATGTGGGTTGAGCAATCAAAGATGGCAGTAATCAAGTGATCTACATAATAGCTCCTTTATTATTTCAGAGACATTAATAACTCTAAATGTCATGAATTGGCCTGAATGATGCCCTTCAGCTACAGTATTGTTCTACATGTACATGTATGTATCATCAATAATAAATTAATAACCTATAATTTTTCACTAGAGGTCAGCCTATGATTGGAGTTGCCGGTTTAACGTTACCATGCACAGAGCTCGTGTATTTTTATTATTACAGTTTATCTGTTTTTTATCACAATATTTGTACTATTGTAGCCCAATGCTCTTGTTTGATGAAACCCAATTAAATTTCCTGTGTTGTGAGGAAAATCTCATAAAAATTCAACGTACATGTAGCTCTTTGGTCCATGTCTAAAGTCCAAACTCTGTATTTATATAAAATTATATAAATATATTTGTATTTTAAATACTCTGTTTTGTAAAGTTTTGTGTTGTTTTTGTGTAATTTCACTGTGTACAGTACATGTGTACATGTACTGTACACTGTATGCCTACTTGAATGATAACAAGTTCATTTTTGTTTATAGAGTGAAAGATATACATGTACAGGTACATTTTAATTTGAATTGAAGTCTTTTGTTTTCTTCTTTCACTTCCAGTTTCTTACAGGGCAAAATCTCAAATGTTGTTGGTGGTCTCATTATGGGGCTATAATGATTTCCTATTCTACAATGTATCCTGAAAGCACTCAGCTTTTTCTGTAAAGTCTATTTTTTTCTCCCTGCAATCCCTTTCAGGGCAAACTTTCCATATTTAGGGCTAGTCTCGTAAGACTTTGACCTATTTTGTTAAATGTACATGTTTCGCACACTATTTCATCTCTTTAATTTCTTTTCTCTTCTTTACTCCTCTCCCAGGGCAGGGTTTCAGTGTTTTTTTTCTGGTCTCATTTGTTTAACCTACTTTGTACTCTAAACGTATAACAAGCATCCTTATCTAAAAATCTGTTCTTTTCTCTTCCCAATCTCACTCAGGGCAACATTTCCTCTTATTTTTCTGACCTCATAATAATACTTTGACCTATTTTATTCCCTCCATGTTACATGCTATTCCTTGTCTAATGCCTGTTATTGTTTCTTCTCAATCTCCTCCCTCCCAGGGCAAAGTTTCCATTCTGAAGGCAACCACATCAACCTCACCACCTTCCCTTCCTCCTCCCAACGCTACGATGACATCATCCCCGGGTCAAGGGAGGTCACAAGGTCGCGGGAGGTCGCCCCTAGAGAAGCCATTAAGCTGGTGAGAGGGCCTGAGGCGGCTTCGGTGGAGGAGAGCTACCCCAGCACATCAGCATCCTCATCGGCGCCCAATCCTAAAATCCAAGTGGTGCACCTCCGCGCCGGCAGCAGTGACTTCGATTCGATGGCGTCATTCGATTCCTACGTTATGGATGGAAGGGGGTTCTCCAAGGCGCGCTACGTGGATCGATACTACACTGCAGGCTGCAGCTGGAGCGGTAACGCGACGAATAGAGACTCGTCCGATTATTCCTCGGACGATGACGGTGATGAGGATGATGACTGCGGCGGCGCGGAGAGTGGTGCTATTTTCTCGCCGTCGCGGCAACCCGCCGTGCCCAGGACGGTGAGGGGGAAACATTTATACCAGTCTCTGCCCCTGAGTGAGAGTGGTGGTAATGATAGTAGCTGCAAGGTACACATTGTGCAATGGCCCTCTGCCGTGAGAACAGGTCACCGGTCTACTTTTCAAGTGTGCATGAATGGTGAGAATAGTGAGTATTATCATGGCGCCCCAACTCAAAGGTCAGCTGACGACTTACACAGGGGATACCCTAGTGTAAAACATAAAAATGTGGTTGGGGAAAGCTCAAATTGTAACACTTTTCCTAAAAATTATCATCCCTTGATGAATCTCAATATAGAGAAAAACTATGATCCCCATTCTGTTTGTACAACTCAGGTGATGACTGGGGCCATTTCTCTCGACAGCTCCTCACACTGCCCCATGGGGAGCACACCCCTAAAACTTGATCACCACTCTCAATCCTTAAGAGAGAATAGTGACCCTTCTTATAAGCAACCCACAGCTGCTTTGCCTGTGGCTGGAGGCACGAAATACGATCACCAGCTCAATCATCCACCGCAAAGGACCGAGTGGGATGATAGGGGGTCCGGCTACCAGACTTGTCAAAATTTTCACGAACACCGGTCCAAAAGCGACAAAAGCCATTCATACCCTCCGATCGTTTCTACGGTGGTATCAAATGAGACGACGGAGCCGCACAATGGTACGGAAGCCCCCATCTTGAATGGAAATTGTGAACCGCATCCCCCGCTGGAGGAGGGCATCAGTCGCCATGACGATGACATCAATGAAGCAACCACCTCCTGTACAAATCACAATACAGCTGATGCACCATTAGGAGCTCAATTATGTACGGAATGCGGAGAGAAAATATCTTAATATATTCTTTTGTGTGAAAATAAAATTAGCATATTCACAAAAATTGTTTACTACATGTGTTATTCTCTGCACAAAATGTAGGTTTCCTTTTAAAAATCATTTACATCTGCAATAATACGTGTAGTTCAATATTGTAGTAAATATAGTATGAAGTACAATGTAAACTAGTCTACAGTCATATGTTTAATAGACATTTTTCAAACCAATTCCCTAGCAAGCGTACCAGTAGCTATAATTTACTCTTTGGTCTAATAAGAGACAGCTACACAGTACACAGTTACATTTGCTCAAGTTCTATGCTAACCTACTGTTTGTTGTTAATGCACATAGAGGAGGGAAAAGGGACCCTTTAAAAACAGAATCTAAATGGAGAAAGAGAGAAATGATTTTACAAACAAAATGTCATACATGTGGTTTACAATTTTGATTCAAAAGAAAATCTTTAAAACAAGATATCCCCTACCATACTACATGTACTTGTGCTTCATGTTTAATACCTTTGTTCAAGTTTAATGAAATTTAGCAAATATTTTTAATGAATTGCTGATGATATTATAACACATTCATACTTTGGGGTTGGATGTACTTGTAAATGTACAGTGTACAACTGTTCATGGTATATACAACGTATGTGTCTAGTGACTATAGCCCCTTATAAAATGGAATCATAATGTATGTACATGTACATGTGTGACTCAAATCAAGGTACCATTCGTGATTTCGTGTTTGTAAAATTTGTAGTTTATGCAGACACTTTTTGCTCTGTAAATGTAACGTTGTTAGTCCTCATGTGCAAATCGTATATGCTACTGTTTGAGAGTTTGTTTTCAATGTGAAGGTTAGAAAGCGAAGGTGTCCTTAGTCAAAATACAGATACAGTGTACATTACAGACAGTGTACATTACATATCATGTACATTGCATTGTACATTACATTGTATGTGTTTGTTGTGATGAGATCAGAGAGCTGTTATAGAGTTTCCTTGGTTATTATGGTAACATACAGGTACATGTACATAGTTTCAGTGAGTCACTATCAGACCATTGGTACGAGTCCATGTGTACATGTGCATGGCAATCAGAAAAACTGCAAGCTAACTTATCAGTTTTCCCGTCCGCATCCAAGGAAAGTGTCTAAACCGTTGACATCGAAACTGTCACAGACCGTGCATGTAATTGCAATACGATGTGTTATTAATTATAGAATTATACCCTCATGAATTAATACATCCCGATGAATTTGTTCGAGAACAAGTCAAGTATGCCTGTTCATTACTTTCCCCAAAGACATTGTAGTCATAATACTCTTTTCACCATTATATTAGAATTTCATTCTATATAAATGTATTTATGCAAGGTTTTCTTGCTTTAGTACAGTATGGTTTTATCCCAAGTCGTTGAAAATGTTGCAGGTATGTATTTATGGATGAGAGCTGGTTACCATTTCTCACTATTTTGAGGCAAGGGTTCAGTGTTGCTTGGGTCATGGTAAAGCAACTGAGAAGGGTTATATTTCTACATATACACTGTACAAGTGTGTATGCTAAATATCACTTTTATATAAAAGTGAATACGGTACGTCTGCAAGGACACAAGTTGTGTTTACTGATTATTTCAGTTATGTACAAAGCTGTGTGTATTCAATGGAGTAAGCTTTATACTTGGCATCGAAGGGGTTAAAATAGGAATGTGATTGAATATCGAAGACACCAAATTGTATTCAGAAAGCAAGATGAATTTCAATCCCATATATGTGTTTACAACTACGAGGGATGAAGGTGTGTGCGTTAGTCATGAAAGGAGCTATTTATGGGTATTCCCTTGCCTCCCACGTCTGAATTTCGCTATATGTTCATCCTGTTCGATACTCGTCCCCCTCTCGCTCTCTCGATTGTTATCTTTTCATCTTCATCTTCCTCTTCCCCTTCCTCCCTTTCCTGTGTTTTCTTTCTCTCCCTCACCATCTGTCTCTCTTCCCCCTGTCTTTCTCTCCCTCTCTCTGTCTTTTTCTCCTCCCCCTCTCTGTAATTCCTTCTCCCTGTCTCACTGCTTCTCTGTCCGTCTCCTTCCCTGTCTTTCAAGTTTCAGTATGACTCTCTGTTAATATTTCTCTCATTTCTCAATGCTTTGTGTCCCCCTTCTCTGCTCTCTACAGTCTTTATATTTATTCGTTTATCCCTCTTATTCTCTTTCTCTTTCTCTTTCTCTTTCTCTTTCTCTTTCTCTGTCTCTTTCTCTGTCTCTTTCTCTTTCTCTTTCTCTCTCTCTTTCTCTTTCTCCTTCTCTCTCTCTCTCTCTCTCTCTCTCTGTCTGTCTCTCTCATTCTGCCTGTCCATCTATACTATATATTTTCTATTTCACTGGCTTCCTTCTCCCAATTCCCCCTCCCTCACCCTTTTCTGTCTCTTCCTACCTCTCTCTCTCTTTCTCCCACAGTCCAGATATTTAGAGTCTTTGACATTGAATCCTCTATTATGAAGATCATAGGCCTACGCCACCCACTGACATGAGCCCTGCCTACTCCCCTTGTTCAGACTACCGGAATTCAACGTATAGCTGTACGAGAATCATATACTGGAGCTGTATGATAAGCAATTACCTTTTTTTCTGGTCTGAATGGCATACAAAGAAACATCCTATAACAGAACATCTTTAATTTACATATACCGGTAGTTGTATGAGAATCATGTACATGTACTAATAGCTATAGGATAAGTAATTACTTTTTTCTGGTCTGAATGTCTCATATTAAAAGAGTCATGGTATAACAGAACATCTTTATTGCTGTACAAGAATCATGTACTAGTAGCTGAAAGATAACAATTACCTTTTTCTGGTCTGAATGGCATACAAAGAAACATTGTGTAACGGAACATCTGACATATCGTCGCTGTTTTCACGAAGTGACGGTAGTGAAAAAAAATTGCATTCACTTTGCGTTAGGATTTTCCTCACTACCGTCACTTCGTGAAAACAAGGAGGATATAGCTGTATGAGAATCATGTTCTAGTTGCTATACGATTAGTTATTATCCTTACCAGTGTGAATGTCATACGGTACATGTATTAAAAAAAAGGTTGTGTAATGAAACATCTTGTGCCGAAATGCATCCAGAAGCGGTACAGTAATCGTATCGTTTTGGCAGTCTACACATATACATGTAGGTATACCTGTAGGCCTACATATGGGACTTTATGTACATGTTTGTATCATTTTGTAATCCAAAATGTTTCTGATCTATACAGTCCTTACATAGTATGAAAACATGTCGATAAAAAATGAATAGATAGATAATTAAGTAGTTGTTTATAAACAACAATCTACAGAGAAAACCCACGAGTATAAAACCATAAATCAATTTTCCTTGGCTTTAGATCCCATAGCTTTCAGTCCTTGGCTGGGGGCCCCCCTCCGCCTGGGGAATAGATGGATGGGAGAAGATCATTAGAACGTACGACCCTTGACCCTAATTAGGGGTGAATTCCAGACCCATTGTACGGTTTGACATTGAACCCTGATGCATGGAGGAGGCTGTGCATGTTGACAGTATGTAGCATGCTAGTCTTGCATTTCAGACCCACATACTGCTACATCGCTTGAGCTAGATACACAGTGCCGTTTCAAGAACACCATTACATAGATTGTAGATAGGTAATAAATGAGATACAAATGTAGATACACTGTAGTAAGAAAGTAATGCAGTTATTTAATTTTGATAAACAGTTCATATAGACTCTTCAAATTTGGATAGGGGAGTATAGGAAATGTTTTTCATGGAGTCCCACAAGGTTTCATAATGTTCTGAAACTTAAAATGATTTTTTTTTCTTCTAATTCTTCGTTATCTGTCACTATGCAGGACCTCTTTCTAAACTGGAGAAGATAAGATGATTTATGCTGTTTAAATGCATCTTTATCAGAGTACAGATCATCAAAGGAAAATCTAAATTGTGTAAAAATTAAAATTCATAATATTACATTGTTCGTTTAGAAATAAGGAGTTAATCAAAAATCATGTTAAAGTTGAATGACTGCCGAGTTGAAAATTCATAGTGATCTTGGCATTCAAACAAACATGTACCTTTCTTATTATCCAGTTCCTTTCAAAATTTCACCAACTTGCTTATAATTCTCACAATTCCTGCTTTCACACCATTCACCTTCTTCGAAAGGTAGTCTTGCTCTCTAAAAATGGGTATGAAAACCGAGACTAAGCCTGCTGGATAGTGTGAAAAATGAGAGTGCATATAATATGCAGGGATGCCTTATTATGCAGCGAGCATAACATGGACTGATACATAAAAAGCTGCTTGGATGCCCCAAACAAGTGACCGAAATGGAGGCCTACTCATTCATAATGTAGCACTTATTTTCAAGGCTAATGGGGAAACTACTTGATTCATTAATATTAAATGGAAGGTGATAAGCTCGTTGGAGTTTGAGCCAATTTTACGCCTCATTGGCCGACTCACTTGAGAGTCCGAGGTAGCAGTTTATTTGAAATGAGATGCTTATTGGAATAATACGCACTGACATTAATGCTTCAGGTAATATGAACAAAATATACCATTTCAAAAATACATGCATACACAATTAATGCATTTGTATTTTATTGTTCATGTTTTTTTCTTCTTTTAATTTTGCATAAAGCATGTCCGCATCTATTTCCTAGAAAATAAAGTCAAGGTCAATTTCAATACCCTATTGTTTGTCCCTTAGAAAGCAAGTTCGGATAATACAAAACGTCATTATCATGTTCGCACAATTCAATAGGAGACGCATGAGGCAATCAGGCTATTGAAATTATATTTAGTCGATTGTTCCAAAGTAGTTGCGACTGTGCCATTTGTATTTTCTTTTGGGTGAATTTTTGGGAAAATCTTCCCTTCAGTGATATACAAATATTGAAAGGCAGATCACTCTTATGATAGGCCTACCCTTTGTTAATCATGAGAGAAACATATAATTTATTGTTGAAGTGTGCAGGCTAATTGTCATTAACACGCATATCTCAATATTTTTCTCATTTTGAATGTACCTTAAATGTATTGGTGTTGTATTGAGGGGCCATGGTACATGTGCGTGTGTATGCTCTCATCTACATGTAACTTCACATTTGAAAACTTGTATCACATTTAAAATAGACCACCATATTTTCCTAACTTTTCCTAAGAAAAGAAAATAAGAACAGTAAAACATAATACGATATTATAAATATGTTAAATTACGCTCAGTACATTAAAAATATAATAACATAATGTATTAAGAAAATAAAATAAGAAAAAGTAACAACAATGATAAAAGGTATGATAAGATTACTGAATATAGAAGCTTGTGTAGGTGCTATCTTATATACATATTTATGTATGGTGTGTATGTGATATAACAAATAATCTGCACGTACTGTTAAGAAACACTAACAAAGCCCATGAATGTTTTGCTTACGATATTATTTTACGATACTATCTTAAAAGATAGATAAATATAAAACGAAATAAATGTATTTTTAAAAAAATCCAAAATTGAGAGATATAACACGTGCCGTAAAGTAATTTGGCGACAATAGTCAAATCACTGACTAATCGCCAATAACTCAAAACACAACAACAACAACAACAACTCTGAATCCAATTCAGAATCGATGGCTATATCCCCCCATGTACATGTACATTCAATGAGTATTCACCATATACATGTACCATCATAATCCATCTTTTGAGTCCCAGATGGGCTTTCACTTCCTTTCGTTTACATAGATCTAATGGCCTTCTGGCGCTCAGTTAACAACTAAATAATTCATACCTCTTGTAAATTTGATGTGTGTGTTTGTTTGTTTTGTTTTGTTTTTTTTTGTGGGGGGGGGGGGGTCTATCTTTTTAGGGTGAGCCAGACGGAGATGACTGCATCCGCCCTTATCAGATCCACAAATATCCTCTCCTTGTATTATAACAAAAAAACTTAAAAAATGATTGATTACATAATACAGTTAAGAACTAAATTATTCATACCCCTTGTAAATTTGATGTTTTGGGGGTGGTCTTTTTTAGGACTCAAGAATGAAAGGTGGACTGGTTGAATTAAGGCCTTTGACAAATACTTTTATATGTACATGTAAGCTTTGATGTGTCACATTCTGAAGAAACGTAAATCAGGACAAACCCTTTTTTAGTTACCTAATTTTTTTTACCAAACTAGGTAATAATTTAGTTGTTAACTGTATGTATTCTCTAGTTCTTACTACAGGAGTTACATATAGGAATGGCTCTAATTTTAGAGGAAAAAAAAATATAATTAATCCACTTCCAGTCTGCGTTATGCGATATTGGCCAGTTTCCAATGTAGGTCAAGATTAATCACTTCCGATTCCAAAAAGGGAT